GCTGTACCTGGCTGGTCTTCCCGTCATCCTGCTTTGTCATGCAAGCACATTTTGGAAGCTGGGGACTTTAAAGGAGACGGAGAGTACTGGATCGACCCTGAGAGAAATGGAAGTTCTTTAAAAGTATTTTGTGACATGACAACTGATGGAGGTAAGCACTGTAAATAACTCGTTTCTGCAATATTGGCTGTCTATAGAACAGAGGCAAACCTTTGTGGTGTATGAACCTGAGAAAAAAAAACCATTGCAAAATGATTAAATGCAGCAAAAACGTTCAAAGAATGCTACTGAGGACAAACGAAAACATCTGTTTTAGGGGAGGAGTTAAGGTATGGCCCGCACTTTATATGAAAGTTCCGAAAGGCTGCCAAACCAGTAGGATTTTTTAGAGTAGTACGAGCTGAAATACAGCGAAAAACTCCGGCTTGTGGTAAAAGCAGGGTTTCAATCTGGAGTCACTGAGGTGATAACAAGCGAACAAAACCATTCTACTATCTTGTCTTCTTTAAATAGATAAGGCCGGTAGGTAGAGGGAGAGAAAATACCTTTGTGCCGTGGCGCAAAGGCATAACTAGAAGTTGCTCATTTTTTTATTGTAAGAACAACAGAGGTTCATCGAGGAACTCTTTCCGTTCTGCCAAGAAATGCGATTCACATTTTCTTTCTTAATGTTTGGCAGGAGGCTGGCTCCTAGTCTATAACGTTATTGCTGGGGGAACTGTGCCTTCAAGCAATTTGAATATTGAAAACACATATGCAGGAGTCAGTCGTTACAGCAGCAACAGAATGGTTCTCTCCCCTGACGGTATGCGAGAGCTGAGATCCCGCATATCTTTCACTCAACTGAGATTCCACTGCAGTAAACAGCAACATGGACGTTTCATGTCAAAACGGTCGCGAACAGCTCTGGTGAAGCTGTAGCCAGGTTCTTTGCTGGTGATACCATCGTTTTTCCCAAAGCCTGTGGCTCATTTGAGAAACTTAAAAGGAGACAACTCAGTCCTTGCAAGTAGATGCGTAGAATGGGGGAGGGAAAACGGCGCGTATCGTGTTGGAAAATGGGGACATGAAGGGCATAAGGAGCTTTATATATACTCAGCATTCATTTGGCGTTATCATCATTGGAGCACGTTGCCTGGAAAAAACCGCTGGCAATGCGATGACTCGGCGAACGATCTGTCACGCGGCGACTTTTGGAATATTTATGTCCGTTAGTTAATGTAAGGCTTTCCGACTCTTTAGTGAAAACTCCCGCAACTGACGTAGAAACAGCAAACAAAGATACGTTAAGATTACAGCGTCATGAACCTTTTAGCTTAAGATTTTTGCGCCTGTCGAAAATTGGTTCTTTTTCCATGAATAGCAACCTCCTCATATTGAATATACAACTCATCTTTTAATAACCGAGTTAATTTTAAAGATCTTTAAATCAACTTATCCACTTAACACTTTGGGAAAAAAAAAGTTAATCTAATATCTAAGTAACAGCGTATCTAAAGGCACCTTTGTTGTATTCTCCCTCTCTCGGGAATTGGTATTTATTGGATGTCTTAAACACTATTTCTAAACTTATATGTATTGTTATGGATGGGAAGAATCGCAATATACACCTGAAGCACGTCACTCAAGTTGTCAGGGGCATGGACTTCATGCAGCCCGCACTCTTTGCGTGTTTTACTATTATAACAATAAGTCGGCATACTATAACACATTTTGTATCGATCATCGACCATTCAGGGATGAGATGTTTTGTTGTAAATACAATATAACAATTTATTAGTCTAATTACCCTTCCCTGCGACTCATGATAAGATCATTCAATCTTTTTTTACTGTAAATAGGTGTATTCTCACATGTCTTTTTAAGAATGTTGTTCATCGTGGATTTTCAGATAGATTAAAGCCAAGAAGTACACAATGAAGTGTGTAAAAAGCAAAATACGTTAGGTAGACACGTGTCGAAAGGAGCTGGAATTTAGAGCACTTAGTGCAGTTGTTATTTTCCAAAGTAAATTTAAGCTCCACAGATTATAGTGCTGTGTATGATTCTCTTTTAGCCTTGTGATCATGAAAACAATAGTTCAGTTCATTCATAGTTACCTCCACCAGGAACGATTTGCTTATCTTGTTGTTATTTGTGTTTTGCTTTGTTTTAATTTTTTTTCCTGCGGATCCTTAGACTTGGGAATAAACACGATACTTAGCTGACAGTTTCCATTTTTGTTTTCATTTTTACTCACACATTATTATTAAGGCATTGAAAGCGATGGTGTAAATCAACAGAAATGAACTATTTTTGGAACTTCCCCACATGGTCACGTATGGCAGGATTTGGATCAATTTGAAAGAAAATTATTTTTTTCCAATTGCCCCCTCCCTCCCCTCTCCTTACTTTTGACCGTTGCTCACCCCCTTGGTGTGATTTATTTCTCGTCCCAGCTTTTCGTTTCTGTGAAAATTAAAGATGGCAGCTATGATTTTTTCCGAGAAGACACTGAGCACTCGTTCCCAATATTACGCCTGCTCTGTTGGCTAGAGAATTAGAGGAAGCTATTTCTTTTCATTTTTTCATTTACAAATTTTATTTTCATTGAGTTTCCAAGAAGTCTCCCTTTACATAACTTGGTTATTCGAGATTGATAATTGGAATTACTTAAACAGCTAAGGTATCACAAAAATTAAAAGACATCAATTTTGCTTCACTTAACAAATTTTAGTGGGTAAATGGGGACTGTCTCCACTTCCAGGACATCTAGGTTTGTAATTTCTCCTTGATTAAAGGGAAAGTTTCTTGGTAGCGAGGATGTCTTTTGTTTTCAGTGGAACCACACAATACAATGATTCCAAAAGCTTCGGTTATATTTTCCTATCAGTCTGAGCCAAAAAAGGCGAAATGTGGATTTGTTTCCGTCTTTAGCGGGTGAAAGGAAACAATAAATCAACAGAGAGCTAGGTATTAGTGACAATACACGCGTTCAAAGTGAGAGAAAGTTTCAATTGAGTAACGAAAGTGACCCTGCGGCTGGATTACTTTTGATCTGGAAACTCGAGCCGCTATCTCAACGAATCAAGTACAAAGCTAAAACCAATGCCACGCGCGTTTTCCCGCGCTTAAAATAAGTTGCCGATTTTTATTTTGTGGTCCCATTGGATAATTATGATAACATTTGTTCTGATCGGTAGTTGTGATTATTTTGGCTTTGGTTTTTCGACACATGGATTGAAAACTGTTTTATATGAAGTTCAAATATTTTAGCGAGTAGAAATATAAATAGCATCACTAATAGTGTGCGATCGATGTTCGTTTGCTTTCGTGATCATAATTCATGTTTTAAATAAGAAATTTAGCGCGTTGCAAATAGGAGTACGTTTACTTTCACTTTTTGAAGCGGTCTAATTTCTGCGCATGTACAGACGTTATAATAGCTCATGGTGTTCTTTAACGCTGCCAGTATCAAGTTATCTCTCAATGAGTCTCAGTGTCTTAAAAGCTTATAACCTTTATGAATTTCAAACAACTGGACACACTGTAAGCAAATAACCTTTGCGTGCGAAGTCTTGAGTTTTCCAGTTCCCTATTTCCAAGTAATCCAATGATGGCTACCCACAATGAATTCTGAGTATAAAGACAGCTCCTTTTGCCCTTCATGTCCCCATTTTCCAACACGATACGCGGATTTATTCCCAGTGCTCTTTGTTTAAGTTTTGAAACAATCTACAGCATTACTTCTCAGTTTGGGTCCTTTTTCAATTCTCCAAGAGTTGATAACATTCGTACGTTCTCTTCTTCATTTGATTGGGTGACAAAACTCGAAAGCGGAACGACTCTCTACAGGAGACTTTGCACTTTAAAGCCAAATTAATTTGCTGATACAATGTAGTACATCAAGATAGTTACCCAAAAGATTTGCAAGTTACAACCTTCAGTACTAGGAGAATATTGCAATGTCCAACTTTCAGTACCCGCAAAACATTGCCAACTTTAAGAACTTGCGCCTGAATTAACGTAATTAAGTCTTCCTCTAATCGACAATATTTTGAAAGATAATTTACTATTTAACATGCAGCAACTTCTTACATCGTAGTACTGAATGCTAGCGTCTCAAAAGTAAATAGAAAATGTTCCAGAAGGCAGAAGTGACAGCAAAGTTATCAAAGGACATAAAGTGATTACTTGTTATGAAATTGTTCTTAGGGTTTAAGAAAAAACACAACACTGACAATAATGCACAAAAATATTTTTAAAAAAATTCCTGGTGGGTGATTGAATCTCCTTTGTTTGCCAAGTGGGTGATAATTAAATCGATAAGAAAGAAACTTTTTTGTTTAAGTTTTTTTGGTTGCTTTCAGTTTCATTGTAATTAACTTTGAGCTTAATTTACCCTTGGGATGTAAACGATAAAACTATAATGCGCTACGTAAATTATTAGGAAGCTTTGTTTATTTTATCAATTGTGAGAAAACCAACTTAAAACAATACAAGGTTGCGGAAAGAATTCAAAAGGCAGAGTTCATACGCAAAATATAATTTCTTTCGGTGCAACCACCGCCCCTCTGTACAAACATTGAAATCTCTCTTTTGTAAAAGCTGCTGTTGAAAGAGTTTTGATTGAGTTACGACAATAGTTCAAGGGAAGTTTTTATCATTCAATGGCTAATACGGGTCCGATTCAGTTGGCCTTTACAATTCTTATCATCTCCTGCCTGATTTTATCTGTGATGGCAAACTCTGACTCATGCGGACGTGTCCTCGAAACCCAAGTTGGTAAGTAAAAAAAACAAAAACCCGTAGAAACTATTACTTCTTTTTTTCTTTCGATTTGCATTTGTCAGACAATCATAAATAGGGCAGTAGCGATATTCACCAGTTCTTAAAAGATTTTAATGTACTCATAACTCCTAGATCATATTTTTGTTGGTAATGTTATGGAAAAGAGTGTTGTCAAAAACGAATTTGAATGCCAGCAAAAATGTATTGAGAATGAAAGCCGCTGTAAATCGTGTAACGTTTACCTGGAAGAGAACAATGTTATTTGTGAGCTGAACAACAAAACTCGACTGATGAAAGCAGCTGATTTCAAAAAGAGAAGAGGATCTACTTACTACGGTTTGGTGCAGGTAAGTTCAGTTGTTTGCATGAATTCCCCGTTACACGAAGTCGAGTTTTCACTCTTTGACTACTGGAAATATATATTTTTTTGTTTGTTTGCTTGTTTGTTTTAACTTTTTCAATAAAGTTCGAAAGGCAAAATACGATTTCTTGGTGTTTATTGCTTACCTTGTCATCGATATTTATTTCGAGCGAGGAAATGAATTGACAAATAATTTTTGCAGTTAAACAGTGAGACTCGTTAAATAGAATTTCTTCTATATACTTTCCATGCTTATCAATTTAACAGTGGTGCCTAATGGAACTTAATTCCTGTCGTTGCAAAGTCCACAAAGAGTTAAGTTTGAACAAAGTTTACAGAAGTTCTTTGTCTCACTCTTAAGTTCTCTTCTGATTCTTGGAAAGAGTTTCTCAGTTGTTTATGATCGGCAAGTAAACCAAAAAAATACAATTCAATTGAAACTTAAGGGTGAAAATACTTCAGTTCCTGAGAAATGTGCAAAATTTACTTTTTAATAATTTAGTTGCTTTGAACTTGAAGGAGAAAGGGAACGGAATTCACCATTAGAAGTTTGCAACCAAAGCTGCAATGTTTGATTAGTTCAACATAAAAACGTGATCAAAATACATAAAAACTTCGAAAACATTTGAAAAACATCTAAAACTGTTCATCAAATATTTGACGACGTTGCTTCACGTTATTATGTTGAATTTTAATTGGGATCACATGAATAATTACATTTGACCGTATAGTATGTTCCAAATCTTATTCATCACAGATTTCCTGCATTAACGTTTTCCACGATGAGAAAGCAGCGAGAAACTCCGGAAAATGTCATCCAGAATACAAAGGGAAAGGCTGCCTAACACGTGAGAAACATTCCATGTTTTCAACTTCCATAAGCCCTTACCATGCACTTTTCCATTGTACCTACAAGTGAAAAACAAAACAAAGACAGAAATACAAACACGGGTGTGTCATGATTCACATCTCATTCGGTCCAGCTATACCAAGAGGACATTTACATTTGACTACATGAGTAAATGGCCCTAAATATCTCACATCCCTCATATCTAAATTTCTCTGCTCACCAAGGATAGCCATCCGCGACCAAGATGGCCCCGAATGGATAAAAACTTAGCACAACCATGCGTCAAAGCGAAATTATTTGGCAATTGACCCTAAACCATGACACTAAAAAGTGAAACATATTTAAATTCGCAGCTGTACCTGGCTGGTCTTCCCGTAATCCCGCTCTGTCCTGCAAGCACATTTTGGAAGCTGGAGTCTCAAAAGGAGACGGAGAGTACTGGATCAACTCTGAGAAAAATGGAAGTTCTTTAAAAGTATTTTGTGACATGACAACTGATGGAGGTAAGCACTTTAAATAACTCGTTTCTGTAATTTTGGCTGTGTATAGAATAGCAAGGCTGCGGAGGCAAACTTTTGTGGTGTTTGAACCTGAGATAAAAAACTAAACTAAACACAATGAAAACAATTAAATGCAGAAATAAGTCGAATTGAGAAATGGAGCCAAACCAGCAGAATTTTTTTAAAGACTCTTTTAGAGTAGTACGAGCTGAAATACAGAGAAAAACTCCAGCTCGTGTTCTAAGCAGGGTTTCCATCTGGAGCCACTGAGGTGATAACAAGCGAACAAAACCATTCTACCATCTCGTCTTCTTTAGATAGATAAGGCCGGTAGGTAGAGAAGGAGACAATACCTTTGCGCCGTGGCGCAAAGGCATAACTAGAAGTAGCCCATCTTTTATTGTAAGAACAAGAGAGGGTCATACAAGAGTTGTTCGTTGGTTCCTCAAGAAATGCGATTCACATTTTCCTTTTTAATTTCTGGCAGGAGGCTGGCTCTTGATCTATAACATTATTGCCGAGGGAACTGTGCCCCCGACCAGCTTGATCATTGAAAAGACATATGCAGGAGTCAGTCGTTACAGCAGCAATAGAATGGTTCTCTCTCCTGACGGTATGCGAGAGCTAAGATCCCGCATGTCTTTCACTCAGCTGAGATTCCACTGCCGTAAACAGCAATATGGACGAACGTTTCATGTCAAAACGGCCGCGAACAGCTCTGGTGAAGCTGTAGTTGGGTTTTTCGGCGGTGATACCGAAGTTTTTCCCAAAGCCTGTGGTTCATTCGAAAAACTCAAGGGAGACAACTCAGTCCTTGCAAGTAGATGCGCAGAATGGGGGAGGGAAAACAACGCGTATCATGTTGGAAAATGGGGACATGAAGGGCATAAAGAGCTGTATATATACTCAGCATTCATTAAGGATCACCATCATTGGGTCACTTCGCCAGTCCAAGACAGATGGGAATGTGATGACAGTCGAAAAGATTTGACACGCGGCGACTTTTGGAAGATCTATGTCCGTTAATTAATGTAATGCTTTGCGACTCTTTAGTGGAAACCCCGTAACTGGCGTTGAAGGAGCAAACGAAGATACGTTAAGATTAGAGCATCTTGAATTCTTAGCTCAAGATTTTTGCGCCTGTCGAAAATCCGTTCTTTATCCGTAATTGGTGACCTCCTCGAATCTAATGTACAAGTCAGCTTCTGATAAACGAGTTAATTTTAAAGACCTTTGAATCAACTCGTCATCTTAACAACTTGGCAAAACAAAACATTAATGTAATATCTTAGTAACAGCGTATCTAAAGGCACTATTGTTGTATTCTCAGAAACCGTCGGGTCTCTCTTGGGAATTGGTATTTTCTGCATATCTTAGACTTTATTTCTCAACTTTCTGTGTTATTATGGATAGGAAGAATCGCAATACACACCTGAAGCACGTCACTCAAGTTGTCAGGGGCGTGAACTTTTTATGCAGCCCGCACTCTTTGTTGGTTTTGCTGTTAGAACAATAAATCGGCATACTATAACACATTTTGTATCGATCATTAACCAATCAGGGATGAGATGCTTTGTTGCGAATATAATTTATAACATAGTGGGCGTGCTTTCCCTCTCTAAGTCTTATTGAGCCGCCAGGAACAAAATCTTCACGTCATCTTCACGTCATCTTATTTACGCACGGGCGTGCGTAAATAAGATGACGTGAGCAATTTTTTTTACCTGGCTTCAGAGTTTCCGCCCTGTGAAGCTGCAGTGCAGTTTTCCTTCTCTTTGAAATATGGAAGAAACCACCGAAGAACTGCCGAATTTTTCTATCGGCATTGACCTTTTAGGCCCTGATCCAACAAGCAACGAAAATAAAGCCGAAAAAAACTCGCAAGTTGCACGTTTCGCAAATTTGTCTTAATAACTTCGGGTCTTTGACTTTTAAAACATTTTTAGTGACACTTGAGTTCATTTGGCTTTCATTTTCTCCATTTTCCCCGTAAATTTTGAGCTTTTCAATTGTTATCAGTTAACTGGATCAAAAGTTCTCGCTCAAACCAAAGAGTATAAATGTGGCATGTTTTTGACCAGCCAATAGAGACGTTTGTTTTTATTATTTTTTGTGCGTTGTGAGAATTTTGCACTCTATCACAATAAGAGACTTCTTCGCGCAGATCCTTGTTGTCGCTCTGCTATAAAAGAATTTGCTCATGCTTTTAGCTGTGCGTATATCGAGTTATGGATAAACTTGGGAAGTTTAGAGGGTCGCTCTAACATTTCCTCTAATCAGGAAGGCAGCTTTCAGATCTTCCCACTTGTCACAAGTTCGGTCAATCTTGCTGCATTTTTCATCGGGAAGTGTTTAGCTCTTTGTTTTGTAATTGTTTGCCGAAAAAGTGCGCGTCTTCGTGGGCCACAACTTGGCTGGATTCCATGCCACCGGACAAGAGACATTAAGTTTCTTAATTTTTAAATTAATTAAAAACGAACTTTAAATTGATGGCTTCCCACTCCAAAAGCGAATTAAAATTGATATTGTAGGTAAGGTCCACTTTCCGATTGACAGCTGTTCTCTCGTTAGCCAATCAAATACTTTGGACCATTTGAACCAGTAAGGTAGCCTTCCTCGCAGCCGTTTTTTGGATGTCACGCAACGTTCGTTGTTTTGGGGGAACGTTGCGTGACATCCAAAAAACGGCTGCGAGGGAGACTACCATTAAGGTTGCTTTCGAAAGGTTGTAAAAATTTTGAGAAGTTCGCTAACTCTTTCAAAAAAGAAAAAGGAAAACCATAACACAGCTCGCAATTTTGTTTTATGAAAAATAAAAACTCTAAAGAGATAAAATAAGCCCTCAAAAGCAATTAAAGGATTAAGAGTTAACTGAAAAAGAGCTTTGAGTTATAAATTATGTTTATATTTAATTAAAATTGTCATCCGATAAGGAGGGGCCCTAGCTACTTGTGCAGGAAAACAAATTAAGACGAATTAAAGTGCCTATGACACGACATTTGTTTTTGCATTTCCTGACTGATAACTGTATTTTAAATAGATTCGTGTTTAAGGGAGACAGATATAAATGCAGATTATGTGAAGATTTCGAAAAGTGTGCTTACTCCTTCAAAAAAAGAAAAAATGGAAAACATAACAAAATTACAATTTCATTTTTTGAAAAAAGACAAACTGCTTTTTTAAAAAGAGGGAAATTAAGCCCTCAAAAGCAATTAAAGGACTAAACTTAATTGAAAAAGAGCTTTGAATTATAATTGATGTTTACATCTAATTAAAATTGTTATCCAATAAGGAGGGGCCCTACTTAGCAATAAAGCAATGAATAAAAAGGAATCATGAATTATAAATAATAAATAATTCAATTGTGAGTAAATGAAGCTCTGCTGATGTACAGAGGAAGGCAAATATAAGAAAGCTGATATGCAACGAGAAAACTAAGGAGCTCCATCTCGACAAGATAAAACGGCCAATTTTTAGGATGGCTGTTTTATGGCTGGTCCAGTCTACGATTGTTACTCTTAACATCCTCTTGGGAATATTATTTGTCCTGGCAAACAAAGACTTTTGTCGAAGCATTGTTGAAACTCGAGTCGGTGAGTAAATACTTTAAAAAAAAAATCCAAAAAAAAGAGAAAAAACCGATTCTTATACTCTCTTTCCATGGCGAGTAGTTACTAGAAAGAACATTTTTTTGCCTTTCAGACCATGCCTTTACACGTTGCCAAACAAAACTCATGAGTGCTATGAGGATAGTGTAAATTTTCAATTGGGGACTCTTGTTACAACGCATTTCTGAAGATAAATGCGGACAGTGATGTTCAAGTTTTTTCCGGTGTGTGAAGATTAATAAACCCATCAAGATTAAAGCTTATTTCCTTTTCAGCTACCAGAGGCTTATATTTCAATCAGCCTGGTCATTCCTGTAAGGACATCTGGGATTCAGGTTTTATTAAAAACGACGGAGAGTACTGTATCGACCCTGAGAAAAATGGAAGTTCCTTAAAAGTGGTTTGCGACATGACAACTGATGGAGGTAAGCACTTTTAATAGCTCGTTTCTGCAATTTTGGCTGTGTATAGAAGAGCAAGGCTGCAAAGGCAAACCCCTTGTGGTGTTGCAAACTAATTAAATACGGAAAAAAACATTCAAAGAATACTACAGAGAAACGAAAACATCTGTTTTAGGAGAGGAGCCAAAACCAGCAGGATTGTTTAAGACCCTTTTAATAAGAGCTGAAATACAGAGAAAAGCTCCAGCTTGAGGTTTAGCAGGGTTTTTATCTGGAGCCACTGAGGTGATAAAAAACGAACAAAACCATTCTACCACCTTATTCTCTTAAAATGGATAAAGCCAGTAGGTAGAAGGAGAGACGATACCTGTGCGCTGTAGCGCAAAGGCATAACTAGAAGTCGCCCATTTTTTATTGTAAGAACAACGGACTTGTTTCTGGTCTCCCAAGAAGAGCGATTCGCATTTTCTTTTCAGTATAATTTTTGGCAGGAGACTGGCTCCTAATCTATAACGTTATTGCTGGGAAAACTATGCCCCCCACCAGTTTGAATATTGAAAAGACATATGCAGGAGTCAGTCGTTACAGCAGCAACAGAATGGTTCTCTCTCCTGACGGTATGCGAGAGCTGAGATCCCGCATATCTTTCCCTCAGCTGAGATTCCTCTGCCGTAAATAGCAATATGGACGAACGTTTCATGTCAAAACGGCCGCGAACAGCTCTGGTGAAGCTGTAGCCAGGTTCTTTGCTGGTGATACCGACGTTTTTCCCAAAGCCTGTGGCTCATTTGAAAAACTCAAGGGAGATAATTCAGTCCTTGCAAGTAGATGCGCAGAATGGGGGAGGGAAAACGGCGCGTATCAT